AAAAAAAAAAAAAAAAAAAAAACTCGAAGGTCGAGAATGAAGGTCGGATATGACTAAAGAAAAAAATGGCATCTTAATACTCGAGGATTTAGTCTATAAGAAAATCTCTCTTTTTTTTTTCTTTTTTTTTTCTTCTGTAAACTTTTAGGGTAAATATTTTTCCGAGGTGTATCCAGAGCGGCCAAGTTGTGTCCAATAGGAGAAATAAAATAAAATAAAAAAACTTGTGTTCAAACATAGCCATGTCTAACACGTGTCTAGGATATGATCAATGTTGGAAAAATGGAGAAAAGCAGATTTGTATGGATAATTGTGTGAACGGTTTGGATAGAAATAATAATTAATAGGGTAGAAACACTATTGTCCCCTGCAGTTCGGGGTAAGCCTATATTTGATTCTGAGATTTTAGAGGGAACCTTTGATCCACACACCTTTGATCCCATGCAGTTCAGGGTAAGCCTAGTTATTGAGATGGAAACTTTTCTTGTAACGACCTAGTTTTCTTGTGACCTAGAGTTGCTACCATGTATGTAGAATATTAATTTAAAACTACTCATAAAATGATCATGTTTACGAAAGGGATCTTAAAACAATACAAAGGGAATATTCAAAGTAAATTAAAATAAAGCAATCTATTGAACTAACTCAAGATCTATGAAAATAAATGCAACTATCAAAGAAGAAGGTTTCATGGTCTTTAAAACGATGTCGTTGTCAATCTGGTGGCCTCCAGTTTGGACAAATTGGATGTGTAGTACTTTCTTATATACAACCCACACATGAGAGCATGAGCCCACCAAGCGGGCTTGCACACCCCTTGGGCCTGCTGGTCGGGCTAGTTACCTGTATATGAATGTTCGGAGGTACAACAGTCGTGTCGTGCATCATGTCAAGTATGATGGTCATCTCATCATCATAGTGTATGCGTCTATACTCATCGTAAAAGAGAGTATCCTAACGCATGTGAACATATAGTATGTATTAAGTCCCTATCCTTTTCATCTTAACCATTCATATATTACAACCTTATACATTCCTCACATATTACCCTGTAACATGCATGTATAAACTTTCATACATTATATCATTCGTAATATTACGTAGATTGTGCATTAGACAACTCTTTATTGTCATAGCATGTCATACATTTCATTGCTAAGTATATTTATGTCATAATGCAACATGGCGTCTCATGCATACGTATTATTGTAACATAAGGTATCATTATAATGTATAATGATACCTTATGTTATCATTATACATTACATCAATAAAGGCAATTCTTTGTATCATCATAACATATTACATCAATAAAGGCAATTCTTTGTGTCATCATAACATATTACATCAATAAAGGCAATTCTTTGTGTCATCATAACATATCACATCAATAAAGGCAATTCTTTTGATCTAGTCGTAGGGTCACCTACTTAGTTTAGTTTGGCCTGGTCTGGTAGGGCCACCTACTTAGTTTAGTCTGGCCTGGTCTGGTAGGGCCACCTTACCTGGTCTGGTAGGGCCACCTTACCTGGTCTGGTTTGGCCTAGGCTGGTAGGGCCACGTACCTGGTCTGGTTTGACCTGGTCCACGTACCTGGTCTGGTTTGACCAGGGCTCGTAGGGCCACCCACCTGGTCTGGTTTGGCCTGGGCGCGTAGGGCCACCTACTTGGTCTAGTTTGGCCTGGGCGCGTAAGGCCACCTACTTGGTCTAGTTTGGCCTAGGCGCGTAGGGCCACCTACCTGGTCTAGTTTGGCCTAGGCGCGTAGGGCCACCTACCTGGTCTGGTCTGGTCTGGTTTGGCCTGGTCCACGTACCTGGTCTGCATACCTGGTCTGGTCCACGTACCTGGTCTGGCCTGGTCCGCATACTTGGTCTGGTCTGGTCTGGCCTCGTAGGGCCCACTTACCTGGTCTGGTCTGGCCTGGCTTAGTAGGGCCACTTACCTGGTCTGGTCTAGTCTGGCTTGGCTTAGTAGGGCCACTTACCTGGTCTGGCCTGGCCTAGTAGGGCCACTTACCTGGTCTAGTCTGGCCTGGCCTAGTAGGGCCACTTACCTGGTCTGGTCTGGCCTAATAGGGCCACTTATCTGGTCTGACCTGACCTGGCCTGGCCTAGTAGGGCCACTTACCTAGTCTGGCCTGACACCTGGCCTGGCCTAATAGGGCCACTTACCTAGTCTGACCTGACCTGGCCTGGTAGGGCCACTTACCTAGTCTGACCTGACCTGGCCTGGTAGGGCCACTTACCTAGTCTGACCTGACCTGGCCTGGTAGGGCCACTCCTAGTCTGACCTGGCCTGGTAGGGCCACTTACCTAGTCTGACCTGGCCTGGCCTGGCTTGGTAGGGCCACTTACCTAGTCTGACCTGACCTGGCCTGGTAGGGCCACTTACCTAGTCTGACCTGACCTGGCCTGGTAGGGCCACTTACCTAATCTGACCTGGCCTGGCCTAGTAGGGCCACTACTACGACGCATTCCTATCATCATAATGTAACCCATCATCACAACATATCAACATCATCATGACATATTATATCGTCATAACAATCATAACCAACACATGACACGTGCAAGGTCACTAAACACGTGTCATCATACATAAAACAATGATTCTAATCGAACCAATGGTAGAGTCACTTACTTGGTTGGTCTACCTCGATGCTAGCTTAAGGTTGTCTCTAAAGCTTGTTTCGGTCTCACACTCATAAATTAGAATTCTCTCGAAAATAGCTATCTAATTTTTCATAAAATTATATAAACTTATTACAAATAATTTAACTAATTTTGCATACAATAATACCTAATTTTTCATAAAATAGTATAAACTAATTACAAATAATTTAATAATTTAACTAATTTTGCATACAATAATACCTAATTTTTCATAAAATAATATAAACTAATTATAAATAATTTAATAATTTAACTAATTTTGCATACAACCATTGGTGTAGTTATTACATGTCTAAAGTTTAGATAGAAAGCAAATCCTAAAAAACCATGAGGCTTGAATCCTAAAAAACCAAAAATGCGAACCCAAGCAAGTGAGGCTTAAACCCTAAAAAACCAAACATGCAATCGCAGTCTCTTTAATAACTCCTTTGTTACTATTTGATGGCTTTAAAATGTTTATTTTGTAATTACGTTTAAAATATGTAGAGTAAGTTTTCTCATGGATAAAGGTCGAGAGTATAGATAAAAGATGAAAAGAATTATTTTTATTTTTAAGCATAATTGAATTTAGAACTTTTATTTACACACAATAATCGTACAAGATTGGTCTTATTCATTTTGTAAGAAAAAGGAAAAAAAAAAAAAAAGACTTGCATAAAGTTTCACTCAAATGCGATTTTCATACATATTATAAAAATTTGAAGTATAAAACTTACAAAACGAAGATGCATGCAAATTAAACACATACAAATTATCCTACATATTTAACCTACTCATTTTAAATTTAAGACATGTAGTATCTATACTCCGAACTCAGGATGAAAAACAAGTGAAAATGAAATGCAATACTAGTCAAACTCAATGCCAAGTATGCACAAAATGATACAGCGACAAAACAATTTTAATATTTTCATTTCTTATTTAAATGAATTCAGTGTCTTATTTAAATGAAGTCTGTTTGGTTATCATGAAGGTTATCCAGAATCTACTCCTTTAAGCAAAGTGGTAGCCTAGAATAAAACAGAGGGAGAAGTATAGGCTACATCAGTTAGGCAAAAATGCAACTGAGAATATTTTACTACTTTCCATGACTACACAAAAGATTAGACCCAATATCTAACTTCTCTTTTAATTCAAAAATATTTTAAACTAATATGCCCAAAACTGTGAATTAAAAAACATGTGCGTATGATTCTCTTAAGAACGTAAAATTCATAAACTCGAAACTCGAACCCAATTCTTTGGTTTAATTGTTCATATTAAATGGGACGTCACAAAACGGAAAGAACACTAAACGAATATACAAACACAAAAGGAAAACCCTTCTTAACCAACCAAACCGAGATTTGAAATAACTGAACAGAATCAATCCAAAGAAAAATTCACTTAACTGGACATCAGTTCGGTTCCCAATTTAAGCCCAAACCAAGAAACCCGAACAAAAGTAACTACTATATGGATTAAGAGAAAAATCTATCCAACAAAAATCTATCCCTAATTAGTTCATTAATCTACCTAGGAAGACTATTAAATCTTGAAATAATGTTCACAATGAGAACTAAATTATTACAAAATAAAGTTGAACTACTAAATAGTTAGTTATTTTCATGAAAGTTTACTAAAAGTGGAACATATTTATTATACTTACAATGCATAATGCATTGTATGCATTGTAATTTTGAAAGAACAAAAATAAAATCACAAAAACTAACTAACTAACTAACTATATATATGAAATAACGACAAAACCTTGTGCTATTTCCTACTAGTAAAAACAAACCATCTCGCTTATATTTTATTTTCCCAACACAAGGAATAGGATAGTCTCCATTTCCATAAGCTACTATCATCGAATGATGGAACTCGACGCCCCATGATTCGTCAAATGGAAACAAATTCCCTCCCTTCCGGAATACAACTTTCATTGTTCTTAATTCTACTTCCCTCAAAAGAAACGAAGGTCACAAAATTTCAGGAAACTTGAACTCGTTTTGTGGGGAATTCAACAGTCATATGAGAATTAACATAAGAATCCAACTAACAAACAGTTCGCTACTTCTTTCCCTCTTTCTTTTGTTACGTTCTTCCTTCCCAGAAATTTACTCAGAAAACGGATCCATTAATTGAACCAAACACTAATTACACAGTTCAAAGATTATCATCATCTCTCTATTTTTCCTTTTTTCTTCTTTTGCCAGAAGCAGAGCACGGATTAAAAACAAAGTTCTACTAATTCAGTTTTTTTTTTCTTTCTTTTCATGAGAAAAGTTCTAACAGTTCAGTTATTGTACATGGATTAGAATCGAGTTTTAAATCGAAACTAGAGTTATTATCTGTCACTGTTTTCTATGGACTGAAGCAACCAAACGGAAACCAATTAACTTCAACGAATATCAATAGGTTTTATGATAGACAAAAACATTAGCCGAAATTAACAATCAAGCTTATGCTCTTCAGTCCTCAACTTCGTAAGCGAAAGACGGAGGAGAATGAGAATCATGATTCAGACACGGTCCAGATCCATTAATTTCTAATTCGGTCACGCAGATAAATCAAAACTAGCAACAAAAAGCTACAACTCCGATTATGGAAAATGCGAACGGTTAGATTAACTCGCCCTATATCGAAAGTAAGAGGAAATCCGTACCTGAGATCTGGAGAAAGGCAAGAATCCAAGCAATCTTCACCACGGTTTCCGATTCAGTTGATGCAAGGCGGGATCCAATTCGCCCAAACATTTCCCGAACAACAACACCACGCGGCCGCAAAGAAATTAGACAAAAAAAAAAAAAAAAAAACTA